GTTGAAATTTGGTATACAGGCAGGGTATAGGCTGATTTAGGTGATAGGACTTTTTACCCCGATTAAGTGCTACTATGGGATAAAACAGGAATCATATTCAACGCGTACGAAGTCGCAGGCAACAGCTAAAAATAAATATTTTCCTAGATTACAAATATGAAATAATATTTGCAAAGAATTTATTCAAAAAATATTTATTTATTATTTATTTCTTGGTCAGAAGTTAAGCATTGCCATACAACGTGGCAATGCTGCCAGCCTTCTGGGTACTTTCCCCACTGACGTCGATGCGGACGAATTTTTCGATGCTTTATGTAAATAGTTGTTTTTGTTTCTCTTTTATATAATTTTAATCTTAAGTTGTATATATTTTATTATTAATTTAGTAATAGTTAGTTTTAATTTTATTTAAATTTTTATTTGAAATTATTATATATCTATATATATAATAGAAGCAAGGGGTCTCGGGTTCGATTCCCGGGTCGAGCAAAGTACTACTGGGTTTTCAAAAAAATCTCAGTGGACGCACGGAAGTCTGCAAATGTGCCCGGTATATGGCAATAGACTCACCCCCTATTACATGGGACTCATAACATAAATAGTGCAAAGTGAGCGTTACATTGTCCATTGCCTAAATGCCTACCCCTTCGGGGATAAAAGGTGTGATGTTATGTTATGTTACTGATATGAAATTAAGCTTTCAGATAGCATACTCATGCATGCTAAGCTGTGATGCATCAGTCATCATCATTTAATTTATTATTCTTCGCACAATCTGTTCCACCACAATCTCGTGTGTCATTTCTATAATTGTACCGATTTCTTATTTGCATATTAATCTACTTTATCTTGCGTTGTTCTCAATACTTAGCTAGAGGGAGAATTGTAAATACTTGACGGTCGGGCCCTTGCCGAGACTCCTTGGTCTCGGGTTCAATTCCTAGGTCGGGCAAAATATTACTAAGTCTTTAAACATCACGCCTTTTATCCCCGAAGGGGTAGGCAGAGGTGCACATTATGTCACTGTATGTACAATGTAACACCCACTTTTCACTATTTATGTTATGAGTCCCATGTAGTACATGTAGGGTGTGAGCCTATTGCCATAGTGCTACTACTGAGGATTTTAAAAAAACCAGCCATGCTTTGCTTGACCAGGGAATCGAACCAGAGACCCCTTGCCTAGTAGTCTTTTTTTTTAAGGGGGGAAAATCATCGAATAACTGCTCCCGCCTGGGTGTGGCGGGAGGGAGTGTCAGACTCTTACTGACTAAAAACCACCCCGTTCCTTCTCCTGCACGTCGAGTCGGAGGCCCGGTTACCCGTTAGGTTCTGCGCGACTGCCTAGTAGTCTTATCACATACTCGAGTAAAACTAAAATTTTACCTTCTACGTAATATATTATACATACATACATAATTTGTACTATACTACATGAACATATATGTGTGCTATATAAAAATACTACTCACAACACTACAAAATACATAAAAATCCAACTCACCAGCATCTGCATTTTCCAAGGTTTCCTAGTTACCATTTCAACGTCATCTGAACTCCTTGTACTAAGGTTACTCACATCGACCGAATCCTTCATCAGTTGTGAATCATCTTCATCACCAACTAATTCGTTTTCGTTTGCTTTCGTAATCATAACTATGGGTTCTTCCGTTACTTCTTCATCTCTCTTATCGTCTCCAACTAAATACCCTTCTATAGTGGTAGTGTGTTCTAGTTCGTTATTGGATATTTCTGTTGTGTATAATTCTTTGTCAATTGATCGTCTTGATTCTTTAGTTTTTTGTGGTTGTACTGTGTAGTACTTCTTTGTAACTGCTGGCTCTTCGCTAACTGTAGTTTTCGGTTGTTCATCTTCTATTACAATTCCTGTTACTGATGTTTTGAGTATATTTTTGTCTGTTTCTTCTGGTATATTATCGTCATCTACTGTTTTTTTTGAACCATCTGTTTCTTGTTTCATCGGTTCTTCAATAAATACATAATCAACGAATATAGGTCTTGGAGGTAGTTCGATATAATCTTTTAACTGTTCAACTTCAATGTGTCGTTTCACTTTTTTAGTAAAATCAATTTCGTCTTTCATAAATTCGTCGATATCAAAGTCATCTACAGTTGACACTTCAATGTAATCGCCATCAGTGGACGTGTATGATTGTTCTGTTGTATAATCCACTTCGATAACAGTTAATTCTAATTCTGATATAGTTGGAATCCTTTTGATCGTTATATTTGCGTTTATATAATTGTACACATCAGGCCAATATTTGGCGCTATACAGGAACGTTGATATCATGAACATAATTACGAACAACATCATTAATATTAGTATTTTTATTATCATTTTTAACATTGGCTGTGATAACTTCATCATTGGATACCAGAGTCTTACTTTTTTCACAGATCACTATAATTACTTCAAACTACGTTATCACTCATAGAAACCGCACTGTTTTTATATATAACTTTAAAACCACGTATATCTTCGTACCTAAGGACCAAGTCACAAGGACCACACGTGTGATTAAGAAGCAAGTCTCGGATGTACTAGAATTAATATAACAATGTATTATATAAAGAGTCTGGGATTTGTATAGGATCATTATGGAAGCTATATAAGGTGTGTGATGCGCAGAATAAAACAATAGATAATATAGTTTGCCTTCTAAGTCTGGAAAATGCTGATGATGTTATTGAGTGCTCTGATCGTCATTGTCATCAGGTAAATATGAGTCAGGTGAAGTCAGCTGGTATGGAATTTGCGTGAACTGCAGTAATGTTGTGATACCTACTGCCTGTTGAATATTTGTTAAGATATTGTAATGTTATTTATTATATATTTATCGTATTTTGTTTCAAATATCGGATACTGAATACCGGAGAGCATCGGAATAAACAATAGTAATTTTATCAAGTACAGATCGAATTGGAATTAATGCCTTTACCTTTAAGGTAAATTTTGACTGTTTGTCTTTGAAAAAAATCAGAGGAGGTGATTTAAATACATAACATC